GGAGCCCTGACAGGGATTAGAGTGGCAAAGCAACACACACACACACACACACGCACGCACGCACGCACGCACGCACGCACGCACACACGCACGCATACACACACACACACACACACACACACACACACACACACACACACATGGAGAAAAGGAGATCAGCCAGCATGGTTGCATAAGAAGACCATGGCATTCAGACAAAAACAAACACACACACACACACACACACACACACACACACACACACACACACATACACACACGGATTCAGGTCTGGATTTAATGCACAAAAAGTGGAATTACCACCTTATGATTTTATGCCAACAGTTAAATTAACGTACATGTCTGTCCAAAGTGCATTACTTTATCACTTCATCATACATGTAGAGATTTGTAGGACATTTTCATAATGGCCCCAAAAAAAGACCTTTGTAAGGTCACAATGACCTCTGATCAGTCCATCCTTGAGGCAAGGGGACTCTACACTGTCTGTGATACAAAATATACAAGACGAAGACAAGAAAAAAAAAAAAAACCAAGATAGAAACTCAAGGTCACATAAAATGAACACACACACAGAGCCAAAATAGAAGGCTGAGGGATTGTAAAATGACCTCAGTTAAGCTTTTTTAATAAACAATAAATCACCCAAAAGAAAATAGGTCAAAGACTACAGCGCTCAGGCAATATATTAAAGGTGCAATGCGTGAAATAAGATAGAATTTGACCATTCGAAAAATTAACTAGCATATTAACAGAAGATGTTACAGATTACAGATGACTAATGTCCAAGAAAGAACACAAATTGGAACCAAAGAACTGTTCAAACTGAATGGTAAAATTACCAGACCATTTGACCATATTGTCATGATACAATTTCAGCAAAGAACGGTTAATATAAGCAAAGTGAAGAAGTGCCCGGCTGTAGTGCTCACAAACATATCACTTTATTGCCTTTAGACATGTCCTTTCTCAGACATGGTTTGATAACAGCCTTTTCCTCGCCAGATGATGCAATACTATTTGTTCTCAATTTGTTAAAGCCAGTTTCTCTCCAACATGTGCTTTTATTTTGTTCTAACACTACAAATCGATATAAAGCCCGTCAGGATGATCGATATTCATCACAGCGTGGCCTGATTGTCTCCCTTCGGCTGAAGTGATATAAGATAAGCCGTGATGATCGGGCGTGAAGGAAGCACGGTCATTAATGGGATTTTCCAAATTAGACTGATAACAATCAACAAGCATAGTTCCTCAATGACTTTCCTGACTGTAATCGCAATAAATTCAAAAGCGAAATAACAAAGCCAAAAGCTAAAGTTAATGAAGAGGTGCCATAAAGTCACAATTCAGGAAACATTATTATGATATGTTCAAATGTAATCTGAAAGATGTAGTTTCTGCTGAGAAACTTGAATAAATTCAGTTGATTGACTTGAAACCAATGGGTATATGTTGAAGTACATGGGATGGGGTTTTTGTACTCATCAGCTGCTATACGGATCTAATGACATTAAAGATGAACTCACAGCTGCATGATCAGGTAGAGGTGGTCAGGACTCTCATAGATGTCCTCCAGGGCCACGATGTTCTCATGCTTGATCCTGCAATGGAAAAAAGGTGAAATATTTGAGAAAAAGCTGCAACAATTCTTACTTCATACAACATTAATATAACTTAATTACTATTAATCATAATGACTAATCTACAACGTTTTTGCTTTCACATTAACGGGGCCCTGTTATTTGTATTTTTTTGCCTCTAATGTGATATGCTTCATTTTGTTTTTCATATTGCCTGTGCTGGAGCAAATATTTCACTTTTTTGGGAACTTTTGGATTTTAGCCTTTGCTAGCCATTTACACAAAAACCTATAAAACACACTACCGGAAAAGGAAAAAGCATAACTGGTCCTCTTTAAAGTGACAACATTTTTAATTTTCTGCTGTTTTCCATGGTAACAACCCTGTGATTAGGATGTGTTGGAGGGATAGCGTCTGTGTTCAAGCAATACCTTGTGTGTTGGATTGATACAATGAATGTGTGTATATGTATGTGTACCTAAGGGGGCTAGGTTCGCTGAGTTACACGGTTGCCCCGGTAACCAGGAATTAGGAGTGTGTGTTTTTCTAACAGCACTCACTTCCTCAGCACGGCGATCTCGTTCTCGATGCTGCTCTCCTTCCCCTTCAGCGCCTTCTTAGGGATGCACTTCACCGCAAACATCCGGCTCGTCAGTCTCTCCTGGGCCAGGATCACCTCAGAAAATGCTCCTCTGTCGGCACATAAAGAATAAAGTCACGTGACTCACAAACACATTGGTTATTGGACAATACAACCTTCCATCCTAGACTGGTGGCCCTTCTGGTTCTCACATTATATACAATTTCATGAAACACAGTTTGCACTCTTACATAAACCAGCAGGATTTAACAAGGAGCGTCATTTGAAGATATTCTCAAGTAGTAGAAAGGCTATTTGAGGACATGTGTCCTGAAATCATTCAAGACACTTTAAGCAGAAAGTGTTGGTGGTGATTTAGTATTGCATTTACTAGAATCTAACTTTAAACCTTTCGTTTTGTTTGTTGTAATTAGTTGTCAGTGCTATTTCTGTAGCCAGGGTTATTCCAATGTATAAGAAAAACGTGTAACAACAAGGTATAACAACTACTTTACACTGTGTCACACCTGTAAAACCGATAACACTGTGTAACACATGGAACACCATGTTACACAAGTAAGACTGTTTAAAACCGTAATAACGGCAACAACTGTAACAATGTGTAATACCACTGTGTAAGAACAATGTGTTAAAACAATGTGTAGCACAATTTGAAACACTGCTTTGTAATACCACACTGTAACAACTTTGTAACACATTTGTAACACCAATGCAATGACAGTGAATGATGCAGACACAAGTCCAGTAAGTCCCCAGAAAATCCAATAACGTTGTTTTGTTCAGGTGCCAAGGAGGAACTGAACAAAGTAAATAGATCACAACTCGGAAATGGCATTAATGGCGTAGATAAATAGTATTATTTCCTTAAGTGCATAATGCGTAACCACGTCTCAGACAAGATACACCTAAGGAAGAGAACACGAAGTCTCAGATGATGACGCTGTTCAAAGAACTGCAGCATGCCAAGTCCAAGCTCGATTAAGCAGAAGGCATGAAGAAGAACCTGCAGGACCGGTCAGACTAACACACACACACACACACAGCTAGTCACCATATGTAAAAAACAAAAAACAACACTGAAGGGCTTGCTTCCTCCCAATTTCTTTGTGTGTGCTTCATGCCTTAGCAGCAGAGTGCGTAGGCTTAAATAGCACTGTTGCCACAGCAGCAATTAAGTGCCAATTATAGTCTGAATTCTCACTGTGGATGTGAGGATGAGAGAGAGAGAGCATTGAGAGGAAATATCTGTACAGTCTTCTAAACGATTAGAGGGAACATCCACAGAACAGACACATGAAGCAGAATCTGGTTTAAAAAAGCTCCAGACACTGTCATCCAACCCATTGTCCATATGGTGTGAAGAGCGGGCTGCGCTCCAGCAGCAGAGCCTCAACAGATGGGACCTGCATGCAGATCTCTGTAGGACAACATTAAAGATTAACAGAAGAAAAATGAACATGCAGGCTGGGATTACTTCAAATCACTATCTAATGATAATGATACAAAAAGGAGATGACACAGTGGTCTGGATTAATGTCAACAACATGCTAAGATCTGATAAACAGAACATGATTCACTATTATTCAGAGCGACCCAGAACAAGACACTGAATATCTCCGGCGTGCGGACAAGACAAATTGTCATCTGAAGAACTTGCTTGGATTTTGGCAATATCAGAATGGCAAAAAATGCTAACAATAACAATGCTAACCAGCTCCATTAGTATGTTTAAAGGTCCCCCATTATACTGTTTTTCATCAATATATTATAGGTCTCAGATATATACAAAACATGTCTCTGAAGTGTTTGGCTCCAAATACCAAACAGATCATGCATTGTAGCATCCCATAATCCCCTCTGTTTCAGCCCTGTTTCAAAAGTGCTGATTCTCTGTCTGTTACTTTAAGGTCCTTAGACACCAAGCCGATTTCCGGTGTCGATGAGCGTCGTGTCGCCCTACTCAGATTGGTGTGTCTTGGTGTGTCCTGCCCCGTCGGGTCTTTTCGATCGTGCCGACACCTTCCGTCGCCAATTCAACATTTTGAATCGGGAGGCTGTCGGCTAAAGGCCGTCGGCCAAAGAAATCACTCTGATTGGCTGTTCAGCTTAGCGAATCAGTGCATGAGAAGCGAAACGGAAGTGAGGGGCCCAAACAAACTATT